ATATCTTTCTCGAGCCACACATGCACAGCAAACCACAGCTATGAAGTCTCATTCGTGCTTTGAACTGGTATAGGTGTGTAAGAGGTATAGCAACATAGCATTCATACGGGCCCACGGTAGCTACAATTCTGTTCCCAGGTATCGCGCGCATGAGGCTTCAAAGCTGTGGATTGCTGTGCGTGTGTAGAGGTTATCGAGCGGCTGACGGAAAGGGAACTTGAAGTACTATACCTGGTAGCTGCACTATAGCTACCCTGGGTCTCTATACCTGGCAAGGTGCCAACTACACCTTTCCATTCAGATGATGCAAATGATGCAAATGGCATTTCTTGCATCACCACCCCTCAACAATCACCTCCAACACAACCTCAAAAAACCTTCCCTCGATGCACCCTCCTCCCCCAGCATGCGCCGGGTTTACGTGTACCTTTTGCGGGCCACCCCTCCAGACCCCCTAACTACTCACTTCGTTCGCCAAACACAACTCCGCTGGCGCCTTCTACGAAGGCTGGTTTTCGTAATAAAGAATATATATATACATACAAATGAAGATGTAGGTATAACCTCATGGCCGGTCATGGGTACCAAACAATGCGTATACAGTGACCCTGACAGGTTTTGCTTGGACCACTATGGGAACCTGAACAGATCTCACTCGGACCAGGTTGGTCCTTGGTCCGACTGGTCGCCTGGTAGAAATGCACGCACACACCCGCCCGCTCTCCTCGCCCAGCACCTCCCAGCGGACTGGACCTGGAAGTTGGTTGACGCTCCAAGCGTCCCAGCGAGAGGAAAATCAAGACGCTGCTCATGGCCAGCGCCAAGGTCCCAACGGCCACCGAGACGTGTGCGCCGAAGCGGTTCGTGGTGAAACCCGCGTCCTGCAGGCATTGCGTGAGGCGCGCGGTCTGTGCGGGTTGCGGGTGGGAGAGCATCGAAACATGGTGGTGTGGAGGTGGGAAAGGTGGGATGGTGCGGTGTGATTAGCCGAAGTCAAGTCGCCAATTCCAACATGTTCTCAAGTAGAATCTTGTTTGGACGGCAACTCACAAAACCACCAAAAACCTGAGAAATGCTACAGAATGCGACTGGTATCCATCCGAGTTTCTGACCATCCAAATGGGACATGGAGGATGTTAACCCACCAATATGACCCTTCCGAACCATCCTGAAAAACTCACTCCATCCGGACGGCAAATATAGTGAAGGGATGTGAAGGGGTCCCGGTGGATCGGGGGTCCCGGTGGATCCGCCCGAGCGGAAACCGCGCGGCTCCATGCTGATGAAGTTTCCCAAGTCTTTCGCCAGCGCCAAGGTGTCCAGCTGCGCCTGGTGGAATCAGCTCTCCAAGTGTTTTTTCCGATGAAGGGATTCAAATTGCAGTTTGTTTGCATGTAAAATCATATTGTGAGGAAAATGCACACAAAATTTCAAACACGACTCGTTGATATGAAAAGAGGTGTATAACTTGGACGAAGGCGTCCCTGAGCCCTGCCACAAACCTCTGCCGACTTTCCTGAGCTGTTGCTGTTGTTGAGGAATTCAAATCTGAACAAATTGCCGGCAAAACGTGGCAAAACATTGGTTTTCGATGGCTCAAATGGACTCTGGAAGCGACTTGAACATGAACCTTCCAAACAGCAGCTTGGCGCTTTTGTTCACTTTCCCATGTTGAGCAGTTCTTCTGCGATAAGCTTGGCTATCTGCTCAGCAGATTTGTCGCAGCAGTCCAGGAAGACTCTGCAGGGAGGAAGGACCATCTTGACCAAGGCCTTTGCGGCTCCCGTTTTATCGAAGGGGTGGTCCGGACCACTCGGTGGTCGTGGAGGATAGATCGGCACCACCTTCAACGGAAGCACTCGCACATTCTCGTTCAGTGCGAATGTTAATTCACCGTTCGAGGAATATGGGGAAGATGTCATTTCCCCATAATTCTCTGTACAAACTGCCAGCATGACGCCGTGTTCAGCATCAAGCCGTCCTAAATATTCGAGAGTCTTGGCACCGAAATCATCCCCGCCGCCCACATCCACCATGAGATTCTCAAAGTTGTGGGCTTTCAATAGCTCGTGCACTCGTCTGAATTTCATTTCCATCTCACCCTTGTCGAACCGGGCCGAGATCATTGAAATCGGAGCTTGGGAGCCATCAGGAATGTCCTCATTCACCTCGGCCATCGGTTGCCCGGCCCATACAGGTGGTCATTCTGCACGCAACAAGCAAAATCATCATAGGGACATGTTATATCATGTTTTTTTTTGGTGTGTGTGTGTAACCCTTGGAATCATAGGGATCCTTTCGGGTTGTTTTAGCTTCACAGTTGTTTTCCTTGTGCAGCAGGGGCATGTGGCACTCTCGCCCTACCACACGCAACGAAGCTGTGGGCGAGAGT